GTTCGGAATATGATCGGGATGGGTTCGACTTGCTCGGAACAAAATCGGAATATATCTGTAAAAAATTTTTTATAGGGCTAATTTAGATGAACTTACTCAGTATTGGGAAATAACTGCTCCACTTCTATTTGCGACTGGTAGAAAACTAATCAAAAAGCATTTCCAAATTTAGCTATATGAAAAAAGATTATTTAGCTATTATGTCAACTAGTGTTTCATGTGAACAATTATTTAGTTTAGCTGGATTAACAGTTACTAAATCATGAAATTCTCTTAATAATAAAACAGTTTAGGCTGTTTTGTGTTTAAAATCTTGGTTTACTGAAGATTACCATTCTAAATTTTAATTTTACAAATTTTTCCTGTTAGCAGGTTTATTTTTTTATACGTATACATATATAATTTTTATGATACTAATAAATACGTATGAATCTTTTATATTATAACTTTTTGCAGATTAAATTTTTTTTTTGATTTTAACTTGAAAATACGCTGGACACTAGTAGCATAATTTACTTTTTTTTATTAAATATATTAGGTTTATAAATTTTTAAATATTTGAGAGAAATATTAAATACTAACAATATTATATCAATAAATTTTTTTTTACTATGCAAGTAACATCTAATCGTATTGTTAATTTATTGATATTCCCAATTATAGTTATATTATACAATCAAATTATCGATTTACTGTAGTAATCAATTAATAATTTTAATAAGTACGTTTGAGATAATTTTATTCATAACATATATATGTAATAAGATAATAAGAAAGTGAAGGTAATTAAATATAAAGCAAATTCAAGTTTTATTTAAAAACAATGTTAAGCAGTTAAAAGTAATAAAATATATTCTCAATTAATTTTAACCACAATGTTCATATTTTATGAAGTAAATTATTGAAGCCCTTCAATTCTAGTTTAAGAAATTATTTTGCTATATTACTATATTATGTCATTTTCTAAACTATAAATTACGTATGACTTAAATTATCAAATGTGTCAATTAATGAATACTATTGCACCTCATATATCATATAAGCAAATATTATAAATTCGAGTTTATTATAAATGTGTTGAGATTCTTTATACCGATAAACTTATTTTTATCATTATAGCAAAAAGTATTATGCTAATCATCGGTCCATCCGATCTAGCTCTATTTGGTCCTATTCGGTCCTAGACCACAGTACGGTCTGATTTTTCAAAAGACAGGACAGTCTTTTAACCAGATAGACCGAGCGGACCGATTAACAGCCCTACATTGGACTATCTGATACTTCAATTAATAATCATATATATTAATAAATGGTATTATATACAGTTCATCCTGTTAAAGCTGATCGATAGCCTCTCATAGCTGATAATAAATTGGTCCACTATGCTCGTTCCATAATTTAAATCTGATAACCTGCCATTTCGATAACTGATATTCAAATACATATATCTATTAGTTGTTACATAGTCTGACAAATCCAATATTTTTGATTTAGACAATTAAATTAATTCTGTGCAGCAAGATTGGATATTATTTAGCCAATCATATAGAACCACAATCATGTGACTAGTATGTTCATTAAACGGATTAATTTTCAAATCTGATAACCCTACGAAACTGATTCACAATCCATAATTGTATAATTCACTTGAATATAATATTGATATTACATACAATCAAAGAAGTAATTTGGGTATAGATAATGTTGTTAGTCGAAATTATTTAGACATTTAGGTATTTAGGCAAATTGAATTTAGGCAATTTCGACTTTGCCATTTTTTAAAAAATTACTATTAAAAATAAATTTAGACATTTAGACAATTTAATTTAGACAAATTTTGTATGGATCATTTTAGGACTGGTAACACAGCTATAGCCGGTTATAGCCATAGCCGATATTAACCTGAAGGGTTTAGCCAACCGGCTAAAATTATATCGATGCCAGGTTTTAATGTCATGGTTGATAAAAATAATGATCGCCAGGTCTGTATCATTTGATAAACAGAGGACCCATCATTTATAATTCTAGTAAAATTTGCAGATCATTTGGCCAGATCTAGAAAATGTTTTTTCGTAATTGTATACATACCTAATTTTAGTAGCAGTACTGACTAAATCCTATTTTGATATAAACTTTAAATAAGTACCACAGTGAAGATCTTGTGACTCGTTGTGCAAAACATGGAAAAATTGGAATGAAAAAATTTATGTTTTACCAAATGCCATTTTTAAACCGTCTAAGCTTGAAGACCTTATAGATATTGTAAAACTTGCAAAGACAAATAATAAAACTATATGATGTGCTGCTCAAGAATATACCGATAGTTCTCTGTCTGTCATAGAAAATTATTTAGTAGTAGTTACAAATTTAAATCAGATTACAGTACAAAAACATCCAAATTATGGCTGGACTGTTACTGCCGAAGCAGGTAAATGTTTATACATATACTGTCAAACCTTCCTAAGTGCTCTGAATTCTGATAACTTGCATTTAGAGAACAATGTGAAAATTTGTATTTATAGGAATCTAGTATATATTTGGGTCAGAGTTAAATATTGCATTTAAAGGTGTTGCATTTAGAGAAATCTGAATGTATATTTATTTATGATAAAGGTAACATATAAGACTTATTATTTAATTAAAAATAGGTACATCGTTATCTGATCTTGATGAAGCACTCCGAAATCATAATCCGACATTGACTCTTGATTCTGAGACTTACCTGACATATTAGGAGTATCTGGTGTTATAGCAGTAGGAGCACATAGTAACTTTGCTCTATGAAAATCATCGCTGGGTCTGGAAAGTATGTGAATTTAGCGATGAAATAAGCAAATCAGTATTCAATGCTGCAAAAGTAAATTTAGGTATCTATTAAGCTTTTACTTTTGATTATTACTTTTCTTTCACTAACTTTATTATTGTTTAGGTTTACTTGGTATAATCTATTCTCTGACTTTTCACGTACAACCGATGTACAATCTTGGTATGACAAACATCTATATTCCAATAAACGAATTTATATCAAAAATATTTTAGAATTATCTGATGACATTGTTTTTCAATATAATCCATTCAATGAATTCAATTAGAATGATCCAAATCCTCTTGATCCTAATAAAGGTCTAGTTTGGGTTAGGATTTAAGTACGTACTGATGAATCTGTGAGCTTCACACAACAACAGATTAAACAATTAATTGAAGCTCAAAAACAGGATAATATTCGCCAATCTGAGCTCCTAACTAGTCTCTTGCAAAATCCTGAGGCAACACCAAATATTACTGCCACAATATGGAAAAGTACTATTAGTAATGTCAATACTAGTTATGTCCTTCAAGCTCCTGATGCTATCTATTTCTTTGTTGGCGTAAGAGACATCAAGCTTCATGTATTGGATCCAAAGTTGATCCGGATTTTCTAATATCGCTGCCAAATTTTTCATGCAATCGAAACAGTGAGTTCATCTAATATTTTAATTCTAATATTCTATTAGTTTGTTTTCATTTCTGTTTATAATAACCTTCCTATATTTGTAGCTATATGAATTTGCAAGAAAAGGATTTTTTCCATTAAATGGTCTTATAGCTGTTAGAATCATAAAATCCACTAAAGCATTATTATCTAATACTTTCAATCATGATCCAAAAACTTTGTATTGTCAAATAGATTTTGTATCAGTTATTGGTACTCCTGGATGGGAAGAATTTGTACAATTAATAGCGCAGAGATATTTTGATAAATACAAAGCAAGTAAGAAATTATCTATTTTTTTTTACAATAAATTTCATTAATTAACCAATTGTACAAACTTATTTACTTATAGGCCTCATTTGGGAAACGAATGGGAATTTATTCCAAATGTGAATTTTATCTCTCTGATGTTTTATCAGAGCAAATTAAACAATTCGAGAAAGTACGTGCAAAGTACGACCCTAGTAAAATTTTTTTTGATAATAAGATATATTTAGTTATGCTTTATCTTTATAAAATAATTAAAGCTCAATAAGAAAGAAAAATTAATGATAATACTAAGATTAGTTTTTAGCCTAACAATATTACCTTATAAAAAATATTCAGACATTGTTATTTATAAAATTTTCATGTAACTACCTGATTTATTTTTAAGTTTGTATTCAGAAAAATTTCAGGCTTCTTAAAAAATAATCAGATTATAATTCTATCTTGCTTCAAGATAGGTGTATTTTCTAGAATAGTTATTAACATTAATATTTCAATAACATTTTGGATATATATCTAAAATTATAACAATAAGGTAGCTGTGTGACGTTGTCGCACTAAAACCAGAGATGTAAGTTAACGATTAGTATATTATAAAACTTTATGATCAGATATAGAATCGAAGCAATCTAGAGAAACAAAGAAATTTTTGCACTTAATCATTATAAGACATTTCATGCCAAATGACAATTAATTATGAAGCAGAAGAGTATTATTACATTATAACTCAATTTGACTTGGATTTTAAACACAATAGTGTAAACTAGAA